TATATATATATAATATTTAAATCATAGAAAAAATATTTTTTCAATATTTTAAATATAGTCAAAATATCAATTAAATTATTAAAATAATAATATTATTTATTTGTATTATAAAACTGCTAGTAATAAAATTAAAAAAGAATCTTAAATTAATTTTATCATAAAAATTTAAAGCAAATATTTAAATTAAATTATTTTTAAAATAAGATTTTATATTTATTTTTTTAGTTAAAGTTTTTATATTTATCTTTTAATTATAATAATTATAAACTTTTTTTTAACCTAAGGACAAAATAATAATATTACAAAATCATCAATTAAAAAATTCATTTATCTATCACATCAATCAATTCATTCACAAACTTTCACAAGTTTTCTTTACACTTTTTACTCACTTTCCCTTAATCCAAACAACTTCACTTTTCACTCACTTTCCCTTCAAATCTCTCCTTTTTCACTCCCCATTTTCCATCCTCAAATTCAAATGCTGATTGTATAATAACAAATTTTAACTATATTTTTTTTTTTCTTGTCAAAATTAAAATTGGGATTTTCTTGTCATGATTACCTTCTTCCATTAAAATTAGAAATTTACCCCTTAAATAAATAAATATTAACGAGATTAAATAAAATGATAATTAACAAATTAAACACAAATAATTAATATATTGAATATAAGATTGAATCATTTAAATAATATATACGAGTTTTATTCTTGCTTATTTTTTGATTAAATTGTTTTAAGAAAGAGTCTTAAAATATTAGTTAAAAAACTATTAAAAAAAATAATGACAATTACACCTAAAAAATTTAACTTAATTTTATCTTTTCTAGTACATATTTTTTTATCATTATTTCATTCATAGTGATGCTGAATGTACAATAACAAATTTTAACTATAGTTTTTTTATTGTCAAAATTAAAAATTTATCTCCAATTTTAATCGAAGAATAATACAAACTGTAGATAAAAAATTGTACATGTAGAAGTTACGTGAATCGTTACTCTTTCCTTCTACGTGGAAGTGATTCGAATCTGAGCGTGGGATTTTGTCATATTAAATAAGATTTCGTATAAATTTTGTTGAATTTGATAATATTAGTAATTGTATGCTTTAGGATTAATTAAGTTTATACTTTTATGAACATTGTCCTGCTTTGCACGGGGAAATGAGTCAATTAGTCAAAAGCAAGTAAGATCCATGTAATTTTCTTTCTTTTCTTTTTCTGAATTGACTCGGCTAAATTAAATTTTATGGGAAGACTTTCATGGGTCGAACTCAATTGTTTTGCAAAAGAACAAGGAATTTATTCCCAAAATAAAATAGAATAAACTTTATATTATAATATAATAATAAAAATAATCGCATGAATTTAGTTACAAAGTGAATGATATAAATAGTTGCATTAATTTAGTCAAAATAATTTAAAGACTTAATTAAATAAAAATAATTAAAATAATAATTAATTAAATTGTGTAAATAAACATAATTTAAATTATAATTTATTACTTTAATCATCTTAATCGTATTCTAAATTTTTTCATAGATAATGTATTTTATCTTATGACTTGGTCAAATGTGGTTTTGAGAAACAGTTTCTTTACATTATAAATATAACATACAGAAGATTTTGAGTATATATCTCCACACACATCTTTTCTTGATTATATCATGAGTCTTATGGGTTATTCTCACTTAAGAAAACTTGTTAGTTTTGTTTCCTCAGTTATTAATTGGGAAGAACCTATTGTATCCTAGGGGACTTGCGCATTACGCGGATAATTCCTTAAGGACAGTGCTATTACACGTCTTAGATTACTGTTAATTTTTGTAATTGTATAATTTTCATATCAGATAGAGGATTCCTATTCGTGATGGATGTGAAGATGGATAACAATGTACAACAATATAAGCTACATGACTTAGACAATATGCTTGAGATTTGAAAGCAATCAGGTTCCTCAAATTAGATTCCAAAAGACTTAATAAGAAGGACTTGTGCTTTTCATTCAAAAAATTAATAATAATGGAAAAAGATACTAGTGGAGGTATTCTTATTTGTTGTACTTGATAACAACTTATGTCATCAAAAATAAAATGACTGATCTTTGTTTCTTTTGATTCCCTGCAACTGGCATATATGCTTTCGGTAAGACATGAGAGCTTATGACATGGAATGCATATTTAAGTTTGTTTCTTTTCTTTTATGATTTTCATCTTCTCCTTTTAACATCTCACAATAGTTTGCTTTTTAGTAAGTTTCGTTCCTTTCCTTTGTGATTTTCATTTTTTTTTTCAACTCATAAAAGTAGCATTTTTTATGTTTTACATTTATGAAATTTGAATGATTGTTGTGAGTATGTGTCCATTTCCCTTTTTTAATTAAGTGTGAATTGGTATCAATTTTATGTTGTGATGATGCATGCATACAATATGACCTTTTTCTTTCTCCTTTTTCCATTTTAACAAGACTCTATGTCGGTAAGTTTTGGACTTCGATTTTGAATCTTGATTTTTATTAGTTTTTTTCATTTTGATTTCATTTTATTCTTCTTTATTTTAATTTGAGTTGTTATACATATTCATCATTGTATATGTACATAAATGTGTGTTTTATATATATTTTGTTTATAAGATTGTTGGAAAAATTATTGATCTTTCTAAGTGTACTTTTGATGTGCCCGATTAATTTAAATAAGGTATTAATCTTTAAATATTTTAATTATGGGAGTTATTGTGGAGATTTAAGAAGAAATATTATTGACTTTATAGTGATAAAGTTTTTATTTTTGTTTTATAAAAAAAAATGTGGAAGTTTTAGGCCTTTTAAATAAAGTGAATAGTAAGTTTAAATTTGATCTTGATACATGGCTTTTTAGACAAAACTAGACTTGTAACTTTGGTGAATCTATTAAGCTAAGATATGATATGTATCTTACCATGATTTAAGAATTTTGGGGTATATTTTTCTAGTGACAATGATTCTTGGAAAAAAAATAAGAGAGACCTTTCTATAGGTTTGTTATAAGATATAGGTCAAAATGAGGCCTTGATAAAATTATTTATAAGTTGCATACTTTTGTTGACTTCTTGAGGGGGTAATTTCTAGTTTTGATTATGAGACAATACCTTTATCACCTATGTAAAGTTCTCTAAGTTAGCTTTTGAAAATATTTTTCATTTATGACATGAGATGTTGAGAACCATGTGAACTGTCAGAAAATTTTAAGTTATTTTTATTTGACTATAGTGTTAATGTGAAGTTATCCATATTATAATTTTTAATACTATGAGATGTTGGAAAGATACCATAAATTGATGGTATTCAACATGGTGGAT